GTTTCGCGTTATAATGCATATAAAGGTGTTATTATGACTTTTGATTCGCGGTATAACGCTTTATTTGCGTTATTACGCATTTTGATTCGCCTTAAAACGCCTTTATATGCGATATTACACCTTTTGATTCGCGTAATTACGCCTTTCGATTTGCGTTATACGGTGAGCTTTTAGGATCGCTAAATGTCTTTCGTCCGTCGTCCGTCCACACTTGTTCGTTAACACTCTAGCGGTCACATTTTTGCCTCAATCATCATCAAGCTTTGTCAGGATGCTTATCTAGTTGATAGCTCCCATGACTTCGAACATGGGTCATCTCGGATGAACAAGTAGGTCACCGGAGCTAAAAATAGAAAAACCTTGTTAGCACTCTAGCGGTCACATTTTTGCCTTAATCATTTTCAAACATGGTAAAGATGCTTGTCTAGGTGATAGCTCGGATGAGTTCGAACATGGGTCATCTTGGATGCAAAACTAGGTCACAGGAGCTTAAAATAGAAAAACCTTGTTAACACTCTAGCGGTCACATTTTGCCTTAATCATTTTCAACTAGGTCATCGGAGCTAAAAATATAAACACTCTAGTGGCTACTGTTTTGATCCAACTATCATGGAAATTGGTCTGAAACTTTTTTTTGATGATTTCTATGTCAAGTTCGAATATAAGTCACCTGGGGAAAAAACAAGGTCACACTTAACAAATATGGATGATCCTTGTTAACACTCTAGTGGTCACATTTTTTACTCATCTGTCAAGAAACTTGGTCAGAATGCTTGCCTAGGTAATTGTTCGGTTAGTTCGATGGGCCAGATGAGCGATCTAGGGCCATCATGGCCCTCTTGTTTTTGCGTTACTTCTCCTTTATTCGCGTAATAACGCCCTTTGATTCGCGTAATTATGCCTTTCAATTCGCGTTATAACGCCTATATTCGCGTTACTTTAGCAACAATCATTGATTTTGAAAACTGCTTAAATACATGCAAAACCTTACATTTTCTAAAAGATAATGTCATACCATTCACAAAAATATATACTGTTAATATGTATTGTCAAAACACATACATCAGAATAGGTTAAGAACATCTAAAACTTTAGTCAGAAAAAAGTCCGTTTTTTTCAGTTTTAACAAAAAGTTTATCTCAGTTTGTTTCTCCAGCGTACAGTTTAAACACTTTCTACTTGTCCTTTTAGCATCACTGACATGTTCTGCAACTTGATCTTGGACATAAAGTTGGTTGTATTCTCAAAATGCTGACTCAAATTTTTAACATTTTTTATATATTATTGTATATCAAGAAAGTTTCAAATGAGAAGTTCTTTGGATATTATTTGCAACAAGACCTGTATCCTGACCAAGTACAGCAGAGCCTGAAGAGGGAGGCTGAGTCTCGTCATCTGAGATCTAAAGTCAGACTGACATATTAAAAACATGTGTATAAAATGATCAAAAAGCACTTTAAATTAACAGCATATAACTATCTTGTAAATTCATATATATTAAAATAAAGTGCAATTTTCTCTGTTGTTTTATACTGCTTTAGTCCAATATATCAGACGTTACAGGCTTGTTATAGTTGCTTTGCCCAGAAGCAAGAATATCTCAAAGCGACGTCATATTTATATTTTGGATAAAATTATATCAGAAATTCCAACAATATCTGCTTGTTTGTTAATAAAGATATTCCACTACAAAGTAATTAGAATTCACAAAATAAAACAGACAAACTTGAAAAAAGTCAGAAAAAATTACTCCTTGTCTATATAGTTAAATTTCAGTATATTTTTAAGTCCAAATAAAATTTCAACAGACATGTCTGGCAGTCAGACACATTTCAGGACTTCTGTAAATTTAAAATATTGTACCAGCTTGATTCATCATTGTTAATTCAAATAACATTTCATTAAATTTGCTTGGGAAGTTCTTGGGATATTTTCTGTCACAGCAAGTGTTTCTTGAAATGATACAGCTGGACCTGGTGAGGGAGGCTGAGTCTCATCTGAATCTGAAATCTAATGTCAGTCAGACATTTCAAAACAAATTTGTTCAGAATAAGCAAGTGAATTTTGAAATGATCCAACTATTACACAAGACGGGTCTGTGATTGATGAAAAATCAACTTCTGGCTCAGAATCGAACAGATCCCGATCACTTATAACTATGTGACATTAGTTTTACATTACAATTTACATTGGATAAATAAAAAAGATAACATGAATTATGAACATTCTTGCATATAAAACAAAAAGCATGTCTAGAAAATGTCTCAAACTTCACCATTGTAACAGTTTCCCTATCCTTTGTATAATATTGTATCTATGAACACAGAAAATGTCAAATCAATATGATAAGTACAAACGTAATCAGGTACGAATATCACGAAAAACATATGACAAAATATCAGTGTAAACAATCATTTTGTTTACACTGTGCATGCATGCATTATTTCACCACAGCAGATTATTTACACAAAGAACCAATTTCAAGAGGCAGATGATGCCAGGCTTTGCATTTTATGATTTAAAGTTTTACTTACGTTGCAAAATCTACACGAAATCGAGTACCGGAAATGTCCAATTACCTCCCCTGGCCGGAGAGCATAATGACACCAACCTTATAATATGTAGAAATATGAATATGTTACGTTAAAAAACATTAAAAAGATGATACGGTTGCAAAGAGGGATAAAAAGCTATCAAATGATGTAAATACAGGCCGCGTATATGGACGTAAAGGATATTTCCTCCTCTTTTATATTTTTCAATTTCGGTTTTAGCCGTTCAATTGTGAACATTTAGGAACCTTAACCGCATATACGCCCACTTTGAACTTTACTTCTCCCATTTATGCTAATTTTTCATTTGGAAATAATCTATTTTCTTCGTAGTACCGCGTATAAAATAGGGCGTATTTTCGGGTTAACTTTTAACCTTAACACCGATTGCACAATAATTCAACTAGCAGGTGCGTGATTGTTGCTAGTTACTTCGCCTTTATTTGCATTTCTATTTTATTCGCGTAATACCATCTTTTGGTTCGCGTAATAACGCCTTTATTCGCGTTATAACGCCCTTGCATTTTTATTTATTTTATTTAATTTGACACTATTAGGCTTTCGTAGTATGGCAATATTGACGCTGATATAACGACTTTAAGTCATTTAGGGAGAATTCCAGGTTATTATAAAATATTTCTTTTTGCCTGCTTTTTATCCAATGTGTTTTTCTTCATTGTTTATATAATGCCCAGTCTGATGATCTATTAGAATGCAATGCTTTGTGAAACTATTTGTCTCTTTGTCATGATTTTCTGCAAATTTCTGAATTGAACAAGGGTTTATCTTTAGGTCTTATCAACGCCATATATGTAGAAATACACTGTTTTTCAATGTTCTAAGAATTTATCAATAAAAAAGTCCCAAGCTTGATCTATGTTATCAATTATCTGTTGATTATTTCACGTTTACATGTCCTCGCACATTTGAAAAAATATTTAATACAAGTAAAGATTATGACCATTGTTTTACTCTGTGTGGACTCTTCCGAATTCAAAACACCGATCTGGTACTGTTTCATGCATCATCGCAAACTTTCAGGAATTTTAGTGCCAATCGTACTGCGATAATTCCTGACTGGTATGATAAACGTCCTATTTTTACATTATCTCCTTTTTCAAGCATTTGAAGCTCGTCTACCTTTAATATGGTGATATAAATATAAACTCTGAAGTATTTATATAATGATATCCTGTCACAGCCATTTTACATGTAAAAATACGGATATAAGTACAAAGATATTTTGACTCAAATTGTGGCCTGACCAGTTGTTAAATCATGTTACAATTGGTAGGTGTTACAAAAAGTTTTTTTATAAGTTATATAAATTAGACAGGTTGTGTAGGAAAATTGGTAAATTACTATATATGTTAATTGACAGTCACTTTTTCTAATTCAAAGACAAAATATTAACACCAATACTTTATAAACAAATGTCAATAAAGCCAAAGAGACCAAAGGGATATTAATATTAAAATATTTAAAGTTGACATGGAAATATTGTTTTATAATGCAAAGAAATGCATGTGTAATGCATGTTTTAAAGATATTTCACAACTGTGTGCTAAATTACGCGTAATCAAACACGTTTGCATCATGTTTCATGCAATTACCTTTAAACAGTACCTTTCTTTTTATAAAACAAATTGTGTCATATGTACTGAAATACAAGTATAACAATAACAATATTTTTGCATTATCGCATGGTTTGGAATTTTTCCTTTGTTCTTACTAACCCATTTTACTCAGTACAATGAGCATTTGAAAACTATATTGATATATAGCGGTACAGTTTTTTCATTGAATCATGTAGGAACGAACATTCCCAAGTCGCAAAGAAAAAAAAACAGTAAGAAAGAAAATTAATGAAATGAAATTATTCTGACTCATATAATAATGCAACTGCTGAAACCTAAAGTACATCCGCAGAATGAATTATTTCCACTGAAAAAGCCCTTAAATCTTGAATCCTTACAACTTTCTCCACAAACTATCAGTTAACAATCCATCTTTATTATCGTACGTTGTTTAAAGTTTTCCATATTATATTTAGCTGTAAGGTAGCTTACGACATCATTAGCTGGTATTGGTTCATGAATATTGGAGAGTGAAAGGGCACAAGAGAGAGAACTGCACTTTTTTGTTTTGTTTTTGTTTTTTTCTTTTTCGTTTTTTTTTTTGTATTTTTATTTCTGAGTTCTGTTACAAAAATAAATATGCGATAAAACAGTTTTAAAACTCTTTACATGAAACTCGTTAGTTACGTGGGTTACTGGGACGACACTTTTTAGCAGAAACACCCCTTGATGTCGCCCCAGCTTGTGTTACATCCTCGTGACTAACTCGTTTTATATACTATAACTGTTACTTATCTCACGCTTGGTTGGTGAACTTCTTTCTTATTTAAAACACATTTTGTTATCTGCACTGAGATAATATGATATCTTTAGATAGTCTACTTACATATTAATTGATAGCACTCGCTAAATTTGTTCGGCATTTTCACTGTATTCTTTTTCTATTATAGTATTTTGAATAACTTTCGATTTGGACTTAACATCAGTAACAATCATGCACCGACTACAGGTAATATATTTTTTTTGATAAGTTTGCTTTTATACATCAAATATGCAGAATTGAACATGCAAACTGCTAAAAATGATATACACGATTATCTTATTTCTTTAATAGTTTAAATGTGAATACTGTGTATCTATCAGGTAAAATATCTAATGAAGTGAGGTTGGTACGAAATTACGAAAGTGTATGAAAATAGACGCTCGAGCTTTAACCTATCTCGCTCTGATCTCCACTGTATATGTTACAAGATCCATAAAAAGAGCCTTAAATTGCGTCACAGGGTCTAGAAGCTCACCAACAAGCAAGCCCGTTTTAAAACTTATAGACATGAATAGGTCCTAGAGAGTTGCAGCTGCACACTTATTTTCATACTGCATGTTCATACATACGTGTAGAAGAAAAGGCATCGCGAGCAGTAATTGTTATTCTTCACGGAGCTTTGTTATAACTTTTGACATTGAAGTGATTATTTGACGTATATTTTTTACAACCATGATAGAAATGTACTTTCAAAATGAGGCTGAAATAAAAGTACGTGAAAAACAAATCGTCCTAGTTGGAAAGACGGGCAATGAAAAAAGTTCGACTTGAAATTTAATTTTTCAAAAAACAACTTTTTATCCATGAACAAAGTCTGAATCATGTTCGTTGAATACTTGGACAACTGAGTAATTATACGATGACTGAGTTGATAATATCACACCGTACAATCAAATGGGCAGACAGCTGTTCCAGCGTCCACAGCTGTACCAGTATATACATGTCGGCGCGGGGACTACAATTGACTTACGATAAGTATTCATCCATTTTTATCATATCCAAACTGTATTCGAGTAAATCAATGTTATAGATTCATAGTCAACATCCAAATGAGCATGCAAACAAATTTCTGGCCCTGTGCAAGCTTTATTTCACATGAATTTTGACTGAAAATAACCACACTATCCGATGTGTTGCGGTATTTTTAGTTTGAGGTCACAAAAACTTATATTTTCTCATGATAATTAATCCTTTTTTCATAAGATTCGTAAACGTCAACATTTTGTCATTAAATATTCTAAACATACCTTCAAAAAAGCTTTTCTGTTAAAGTTATAAGGTATTTAAGTTTGTGTGTCATCAAAATTTAAGTAACGTCATCAGCTGTTCGCCTCTTTTTAATGATAACCTCGACAGCAATTCATCGGCAAGGATGAATAACGCTGAAAGCTGTTCAAAGAAACAATTTTCAGAGCTTTTGTCCTACAGTAACTAAGAAAAAGTAAAACTTTTTTGTTCATTTAAAATATTACTTTATTCATGATACTTTCTAATTATATTATTTTTATTATTACTTTCTATCATTTGTTGTATCTTAGCTGAGAGGCCTATATCTCCATTTACCGCACTGTATTTCAATATTGATATTGTTCATATGAATGAATGAGTGAGTGAATGAATGAATGAATGAATGAATGAATAAATTAATTAATTAATTAATTAATTAACGAACGAATGAACAAACGAACGAATGATGCAATATACATATATGTTAAAACAAATTGTCTGTAGAAAGTATATGAGTTGTAATATTCTAAAAATTACATATTATACATTCATTTGTTGTTTTCTGTTTCAGAAGGCCACATTGGAAATAAGATATATATGATTGTTATTGTATGTTAATAATGTATAACCTTCTTTAAATAAAGCTATTATTTTTATTATAATTATTATAATATAAAAAGGAAGCAAGATCTATTAATATGTTTCTGAAATGTTAAATTCAAAGAAAGTGAAGGCAAATTTAACGCTTAATACGAATACTCTGTATTATAACTAAATCCATCAAGCGTTATCATAAATAATGGCATATAGTAGACATGTCCCATGCAGTAAATGGATGTGTAACCCAAGATGTCTGCCATATAAAATGATTTATTTAAAAAAAAATCTGAATAATTTTTAAGAATGGTTATTATTTCTATTGCACTATACATTAAAACAGATTTCAAGTATAAATAACAACATGTTTTTCCATGCATTTTAATCTCGGGTTACACAGTCATTCACTGCATAGGACTTGTCCATTATATGAATTATTTATAATAACACTTGATGGATGCCTTCATTTACAAGACTGAATATTCTTATTAAGCGTTAAATTTGCCTTTGCCTTTTGACTTAAACATTTCATAAACCTATTGCAGGAACTCCACTGAGGTTTATAGGCCTAAAAACATGAAATTTTATTTTTTTACATAAAAAACATGAGCACTAAAACATAAATATAAAAAAAATATAACCAAGAAATATAGGAGAAATACATTGAAAATCATATGTTTGTGCTATTCTCAGTCCGATTTGAGTGAAAAGCGTTTAAACTCTTTTCAATTTTGGGTCATTTTTTCACTTTTATAATATTCTGGAAAAACGGAGCAAGCTAATGATCGGAAATTTTGTATATAAGTTATTAGTATAGATCTACATCAAATTGAGAAATAATCTCAAAAAATTATTTCCAGTTCCGTCATGTCAAAAAACCTTAGTGGAGTCCCTTTAATAGGTTTTGCTACCTTTTTATATTGAAATACATAGCGGTAAATTGAGATCAAGGTCTTGAACCTAAGATATAACAAATAATAGAAAGTAATAATAGAAATGATATAATTAGAAAGTATCATGAATAAAGTAATATTCTAAATTAACAAAAAAGTTTTACTCTTTCCTAGTTACTGTAGGACAAAAGCGCTGTTGTAAATACAGTCATGTAATTGTTTCCTTGAACAGCTTTCAGCGTTATTCGTTCTTGCCGATGAATTGCTGTCGAGGTTATCATTAAAAAGAGGCGAACAGCTGATGATGTTACTAAACTTTTGATGACACACAAACTTAAATACCTTATAACTTTAACAGAAAAGCTTTTTTTTGAAGATATGGCTTGGAATGATTAATGACGAAATGTTGACGTTTGCAAATCGTATGCAAAAAGGATTAATTATCATGGGAAAATATAAGTTTTTGTGACTTCAAACTAAAAATACCGCATTTCATCGGATAGTGTGGTTATTTCAGTCAAAATTCATGTGAAGTAAAGCTTGAACAGGGCCAGAATTTTGTTAGCATGCTTCTTTGGATGTTGACTATGAATCCATAACATTGATTTACTCGACTACAGTTGGGATATGTTAAAAATAGTTGAATACCTACCGTACGTCAATTGTATACCCCGCGTCGACATGTATATACTAGTACAGCTGTGGACGCTGGAACAGCTGTCTGCCCATTTGATTGTACGGTGTGAATATACACTGTCTTATACATTTATAGATGCACCTGGCTTACTTGACATAACAAAGCGTGGAGGCGATAGGGCACTTGATATTCTAAATCCGGTTGAAATCTGCCCAGATCCGTATACGTTTTTGTTTGTCTTTAGCAAAATGAATCACATTACAAAAGAGAATAAGATACTATAAAAATGTAACCCAAATAATGTATTCTACCATGTCATTGTCATTTTCAAACACTGCAGAATATTTAAGTCCGATAACAAGTTAAGAAATTTTTGATGCAACATGAACGTTTTGTCAAACGTTTGCAGATCATTTTTGCTTACATAATCATTTATATTGATCATAATGATCTAAAAATGAACAGTGTTTATCATATTAAACACAATTTACGCTAAGCATGAAACTTACTATCAATTTTACATCAAGTTTTGTTTTGGGTACATTTTTTTTCATACGTTTTAAATGCCAAATATCTATAAATATTTTCAAGTTTAACGTGCTTTAGACTTGGATCTCAGTAGAATCCATTTGATATACCAGATCAAGGCAATATACTATGGAAAAATATTTGTACTTAAAAGCATTGACAACTTCCTTAAGTTATATCTTTAATCGGAAAAAAACAACATTTTTTTTTTTATTCGTTGCTTTAGCATTCTTCCTCTGTAACAATTTTGCCAGTTTGAGCTTTCTTATAGAATTCCGCCTTTCTCTTTTCTCCTCGGCTGTTATAATAATTAGTAGACTATGGTATAAATTACCATTAGAAACGTTGACATAGATTAAGACCTTAAACTTTATTGTTTACACATAGAATTTGATAAATATAAATATTTATAGATTTATAGATTTGCATTATCTATATTCATTCTACATTCAAGTAACACTTTCAAAATATGAGCAATTTATTTAGGACACAAACAGTTTAAATAAATTGGACTTCTCGAACACGTGTAACCATATTGACATTATGGTCATTATTTGACGTAATGTTTAACAGCGATTATAAATATATACTTTCAGAAAGAAGATAAAATTAACTTAGGAGAAAGACGAATCATTCTGGTTGGAAAGACTGGCAATGGGAAAAGTTCAACCGGAAATTCCATTCTTCGAAAACAGGCTTTTCTCCATGAACACAGCCCAAATCCGGTAACAGACAAATGCTCGTTGAAAACAGGGACAAATGAGTCAAAAACCTTTCAGTATAAGTTAGTTGATACACCCGGATTACTTGACACAACAAAGCGTGTTGGTGAAAGAGCACTTGATATTGTACAGTCAATTGAAATCTGTCCAAATCCGCATGTATTTCTTTTGGTCTTTAGCGCCGGAAATCGTATGACAGAAGATGAACGCTTCACTATAGATATGCTCCGGATTATGTTTGGAGAAAATATTTTCAATCATGCAATGGTCGTTTTCACACATGGCAAAATGTTTGAATCTGATGAAAAGTTTAAGAAATTTTGGACAGAAAATGAACATTTTGTTACACTTATTAAAAAGTGTGGAAACAGGGTTGTCAAAATAGAGAACAACAAGGATGTCTTTGACCGAAATGAAGGTGTACATGAAATTGAAAATATAATCGAAGAGCTGACAGAAAGCGGGCGTAATTGCTATAGCTACAAATATGTAGACACCCACAGATCCGTAATTGAAGAACATTTAAAAAATTATCAAGGAAAAGGCAACATTCATGAGGATATTTCCGACATTATTGACAAGCTGGGTCAGAAATTAGATCAACAAATCTGGAAAAAAATGTTATTTGGTGGTGTACTGCTAAGCGGAGGAGCAATTGGTGTAGGATATGCTGCCGGTTATGCCGGGGCGAATGTTGTTGCTGCATCGGGATTGGGGGCAACCGTTATGACCAATGCTGAAGCTTTAGGTTGCGTTCTTGTAAAATCAGCCAGTTCATTTGCAGCTGCGGCAGCTTCATCAAACGTTGGTGGTGCCGTCGTAAGTTCAACTTTGAGCGTTGCTAAAAAAATGAAGTTTAAGTAATGATTGAATGATCGGGCACAATCAATAAGAAATGTATGAAATGTATCCTCCACTATTTCAAAATTATTAAGCAAAATAATTTAACTATACATTTACATATATATTATTAACATAATTATCCATTCCACTAATCATTTCACTTATAATTAACTTCTTTTCTTAGTGTAAAAGGCATTGTTTACAAATTTTCCTAATTTACGTAATGTGCATACATTTTCAGAATTTAATAATTCAATGAATTTTGGCATATTTGGACGTCTCCAGTGATATGGCGGTATCAGGTTTTTTCTTAAATCATTATATACATTGCATTCTAATATGAATTGGTATTCGTCTTCTAAGACATTACATGAAAAACATTTTCTATCATTTAAAGGTGTACTATTTGGTTTAGTTCATGCACCTGATTCTATGTGCAGTCTATGAGATGATACTCTTAACCTAGTGAGATCTTTACAAAACCGTTCAACATTGATAATATTTAGATATGATTGAAACTTAAGAACAGAAATATATCTATAAAGTAAAATACTACTAGAGTTATCTAATCTACTTGACCAGTTTTGTACAAATTGGTCTTTCGAACATTGTTTCACATAATATAAAAACAGGTCAGTTTTACCCTTTGCCTAACCAAGAATCATAAAAACCTAATGTACATAAAACATTTTTCACTTCTAAACACCAATTTGTTTTATTTGGGTAATTTTCACAATCATTTTTTAATAAATTATAAACTTTGTTGACAAATTTATTCTCATTTGTATGTTATATTCTAACCCAGTATCTAATAATGTGATAGTATCGTATTGTTTTGAAAGATATTCTACCAAGTTCACCATATATAAAATTTGGTTTTTTTACACCTTACATACGTTTACAAAATTGCATATGTACTCTTTCAATTACATTACTATGTATAAAACCCCAGACTTTGCTGCTATAATTGAGTATAGGACTTACTATTTTATCAAAAAGACCAAATCTGTGTAAAGTAGAAATTTTAATAAATTTGTATAGGTATTTGTTCATTTGTACATATACATCATACATCTCAGCCCAATTATTCAAACTATTATTTACTACACGAGTAAAAATTTTACTTAAGACATTGAGAAAAGTTATACCTCTATAATTACTAACTTCGTTTACACTACCCTTTTTATATAATGGTATAATGTATCCCTCATACCAACTTTCCGGAAAATATCCCTGAGAGAAAATTTTATTTAATAATAAAACTAAACATGGCAAAAAAATGTGTTTACCGTGTATAAAAAATTCTTTCAGTAATGCATCTGGACCTCCACTACGACCAGTCTTCAATTGCTTGATAGCTTTTAAAATTTCAAAATCAATGATAGGGGCATTCAGTTGATCAAACCACAGGAGATTGACATTCTATCAATTATTGAAAAATATAATAAAATAATTAAAAACAACTGAAAATATACCCCTCTATACTATAAATAAACACAAGGATTACAACGCCTTTTAATACTGTTTTTGTTTGGGGTCCTCCTGGGCTACTTGTCGCTGGTTCTTGTTGCTTGGTTGTGTGGGGGTTGGTATCATTGAGCTCCGCCCTCCCTTCCTTGTTGATCCTGTTTATCATATTTGAAGGGTAACTTGGATTTTTTTTTTTTTTTTTTTTTAGTTTTGCTTTTTTTAATGTGTAAAATATATTCACGGTGAGATTCAAACCTTGTATAGCGTTTGAAAAGCGGTAAGGACATAACAACCACCCGTAAAACTCTTTTCCTGTGAAATGATTTTCCAGCATATGAGAACAGTCTAGCTTTTATACTGTAAAATATTAAAATGAACTAACCGCAACAATTAGTCTCAATTTTAAGAGACGGGCTTTATCATTCGATCAATAATCATGTAGAAAGAAACATTCTGAAAGTGTAATATACAAAGGACAAGTGTCTAAAATTTCATAGGTGAAGTAACATCTTGCTGTACGGGGCATATTGTTCTATAGTTTTTGGTTAAGTCATATATGTTAGAAAGCTTACATACCATAATGAATTCCGAAATATGTCTATTATCCCTTTTGTCTTCAACAGTTTCGGTTAACAGATCCCGATGAGTGTGATGGATCGAAATGGCAAGTGATTGCAATCAAGGCGTAAGTCGAGATTGGCCTAATCTTGCCAAGGGTCAACATTTTTTGTATCTTTACAACCGCGGTGGGATGAGATATTAATTTCATTTTTAAAAACATATCGATATCCCAAAAAAGATATCAAATAGCTTAATCCGGTGTCGCGTAATAATCACACGGCGTAATATTACCACGGTTTGTACATAATTTTTTAAACTTGCCTGCTACTTTGTTGAATAACACTGCGCTTTGAAAATTGGTATAAATCTTCAGCATATAATTTATATTTCAGTGCATGTATTTGAATATTCTGACAGTATTTCTTTTCTTCAGAATATATGCGTGAAATTGAGCTAAATCGCCAAATTTTGCATATTTCATAGGTCATTTTGAAAAAAACATGCAAGGTTCTAAAAGTATTAAATACATGAAAATAAATGCTTTAAAACCTGCCAGGGATGTTAAACTTTGTTTCTTGTCCATTGTTTTATTTCTAAATAGGCTAGAACTAATCTTAACCAGTAGTTGAAAATGGCCAATTCTCCGAAACCTAGGTCACATTACCCGAAAGTTTTGCCCGAAAGGGTACTACAAATGTAAAATTGTCATTCATAACCATACACATTTATTCTAAAGAATAAAGGTCCAATAACTTGTCCCATATTCTAATATTCACAATTCAATGATTGGTTGTAATCAACATTTGCCATTAATATAAATAAAAACACTGAAAGTACTGTAGTATACATTGCTTGATAATATAATCCATTTGTGTGATCAAGGCCATCTTGATTTTAACCTACTGACCTCAAAAGCAATAGGGGTCATCTTCTGACCAAGGTCAATGTCCCTAACAAGTGACTCACACCAAGGCTTTTTTCTTCCAAAGTTATTTATGAGACAAGGAAGATGCGATGTTCCGTCTGTGTATTGCTAGTCAAGCTGATAGATGAGTGATAAAGAAATTATTTTTTGAAACACCCGTTAAATAGACTGCAGTATAGAATATTGAAACAGTAATATTGAATTTCCAGTGATGCTATCTAATAAAATACATGATCTGGCTTAAACTCTATACAAAGTCAATTAATTGAATCATCCTACAAGACTTAATTACCAAATTATAGTACATCTTTGCTTTCCATGTTAAATATCTTTGTACTGTACTTTGATGCATAAATACATAAATTATGGTGTGTTGTATTATTCTCGTATTCAACTCTTCACATTAATTTTCAAATGCATTACTTTATTGTTTATTAATAAAATTTTCAAATACATTACCTTATCGTTTATTAATAAAAATGAAATATATAATCAAAACTATTCATATGCACTGTAATATTTTCATTATTCAATCATTGTTACATATAGTCTTCATATACAACCTTTCCAAGAAATTCATTTATATTTGACAGCAAGTTAACAAAAAGGGGTTTTCCATAATCAGGCTGCATTACCAATTTCTTAACTTTAGATGAACCATTTAGCTAAAACATTTTATTTTGGATACTGTGAGCTACTTCTGATTTTCAACCAAGGCGATCCCTGTTCAAACTCGAGCAAAACCTGTCACACACATTCTGGCAATTGGGGCAAAAGTTTGACCAGTAGAGTGTTAACAACTTAAGTCATCGTCGGATACAAATGATTGATTAACATTTAACACGACATAACTGATAAATGTAAATGGTTTGGCCGTGGGTATCCGACGATGCTAAATGTGGACAGACAACAGTTGACATAAGATGAATGACCGACATTCAACCATCTAAAACCTCGAACTGAGCCAACCTATAAGTTTCGTTACTGAAATAAATAATAAGATAATAAAAATGAATACTGTGTAATGATTTAGATGATGTGTAGCCATTATATCAGAAATAAACTATTGCTTTTCTATATATGTTCTTTACTCTATTGAAACTACGCAAGTTCATTTTATAGCAAATAAATATAAAACGACTGCTAGATTATTTTTTACTATAACAAATAAAAAGTAAAAGTTTATTATTTAAACGATTGAAAAGTCTAATTGTATGAATTTTATTTATAAAATATTTTATGGAAAAGCTGTTTTCAATAGTATTTATTCTTACATTTCTTTTTGTTATTCATTTCGGGAATAAGATTGCTCCGTATTATAGTAAATCATGCGCATGCGCGATTCACTCTTTTTTTTCAAAAACAAAGGAAACAAAGCAAAATTTTCTCTCAGCTAGTTAAATATGTTTATAGTATATAAAGTTTTACCTCCTCCATCCTTTCCATCCACCCACTACTGAAAGTTAGTAGTGAGAGTGAAATCAGCCAATTTCATTTACTTTGGACATTTTGTCGTGCAGAATTTTATGTATGTTGTTTTTTGTATTTACTATGTATCAAATATTGAAATTCATCTGTATAAGTTTCCTTTGTTCTTGTATTTTGTTATATTTTGTCATATTATCATTTTTGTAGTAATAATACTTGCATTTTATGTTTAAATGGCTACTTGCTTGTATTAAAAGTTCATAAAGTATTTTTCAAGGATGTAGCCGTACATCAGGTGGTGTAAGACGCAAGATAAAAGGGTACAGGTTTCCAGACTATGGTTTTTCCTGGGCGAGTCGACCACGATTTGGAAATTATTTTATGATCAGAAGTTCATATTACATACATGTATTTGTTTAGTGATTTTGTTGTCATTTATTATATTGTTTGCTACAACTGTTTTCTATTGGAAACCACATTTGAAGTTTTGGTTTATCATTTTGGGCGAATTGGTTCCCCAGTTAAGGCATGAAAAAATTCTAGATGTAAAATGTATCCATTTATCGGCTTAATATTAAAGTCCTATAACAACTTACACAATGCGTTGTTTTATTTTGGTGTCTTACAAGCTGCACAAACTCTTGGGATTTACTTATGAGAAACACGACGGCCATAAATTGGGAACTTTCTAAACATTAAAACAACTTTGCAAACAATAGTTTAATGATGTGTAGTCGGAATGTAACGCTACTGCAAAAAGAAGAACTAGTTTCTATAGCGGTCTTTATCCGGGAGTTGATGTTGTTCGGTAACGACTTAACCTGTAACGATTGCGGAGATATAGCTTATAACTCTGTATACATTGCAAGCAATGTATATAAAAACAGATTTAAAGCGGCATGTATCCTTTTTTAACAAGGCGGACAATCCTGTTGAAATGTGATCTATGTATTTTCTTTTAACTAGTGCTTTCTTTTTACGTATGCGTCATTAGATTACATTTACTTTGATATCAAAATGATACAAAACGTTTTCTCAACTAAGACAAGAATGACAATTGAAATTAACAATAGAATTTCACTTGTGCATTTAAGTGCTGCCATTTTGATCACAAAACTATGGTGTCTAGTTTCTGCTATTACGTTATTTTGTTTGGTTGTGTTTACCAACCCTTTTACAAGTAGAGAAAATAATAGCGAACAGCATGGATCCTACTACATAGGGATCGGTTTGGTGGATGACGTCACGAAAATCCGGTATAGC